ACTTGTTTTATGGCCCAAAATATAGTCTATTTTGGTCAATGTTCTCAGTGCACAAACCCCACCATACATTATTATTATTTTTTAAAGATTTTATTTATTTATTTGACAGACAGAGATCACAGGTAGGCAGAGAGGCAGGCGGGGGGGCGGGGTTGGTGGTAAGCAGGCTCCCTGCCGAGCAGAGCCCGATGCTGCGGGGCTCCATCCCAGGACTCTGGGATCATGACCTGAGCCGAAGGCAGAGGCTTTAACCCACTGAGCCACCCAGGCGCCCCTACATGATTATTTTTTAAACACAATTATCTTTTTAAAAGATGTAATAAGAAAACAAGCAACATATACTTATTCAGGTAGTTACCATGGCCAGAGTTCTTCATTCCTTTGGATAGACCCATATTTCTACTTGGTACAATTTTCTTTTTTGCCTAAAGACCTTCCTTTAACATTTTTTGTAGTGCAGGTCTGTTAGTGATGAATTCTTTCAATTTATATATATCTGAAGATGCCTTTGGGGGCACCTGGGTGGCTCAGTTGGTTAAGCAACTCCCTTCGGCTCGGGTCTTGATCCTGGAGTCCCAAGATCAAGTCCCACATCAGGCTCCCTGCTCAGCAGGAAGTCTGCTTCTCCCTCTGGCCTTCTCCCATCTCATGCTCTCTTTCTGTCTCTCATTCTCTCTCTCACACATAAATAAATAAAATCTTAAAAAAAAAAAAAAAAGATGTCTTAGTTTCACCTTTGTTTTTGGAAGATACTTTTTATGAAGTTTTAATTTGAATTCCAGTACAGTTAACACACAGTGTTATGTTAGTTTCAGGTGTACAACATAGTGATTCAACACTTCATACACCACCCTGTGCTCATCACAACATGTGCTCTCCTTAATCCCTATCACCTGTTTTATCCATCCCCGCCCACCCCACACCCACCTCCCCTCTGGTCACCATCAGTTTGTTCTCTGTCATTAAGATTCTGTTTCTTGGTTTGTGTCTATCTGTCTTTCTCTTTTCCTTTGCCCCCTTTTTGTTTGTTTCTCAAATTCCACATGAGTGAAATATTTGTCTTTCTCTTTGTTACTTTGCTTAGAATTTCACTCTCTAGCTCCAACCATGTTGTTGCAAATGGCAAGATTTCATCTTTTTTTTTTATGGCTGAAAAATACTCCATCATATGTTATACCACATCATCTTCTTTTTTTTAAAGATTTTATTTATTTATTTGATAGAGATGACAAGTAGGTAGAGAGGCAGGCAGAGAGAGAGAGAGAGAAAGGGAAGCAGGCTCCCTGATGAGCAGAGGGCCTGACATGGGGCTCAATCCCAGGACCCCGGGATCATGACCCAAGCCGAAGGCAGAGGCCTTAACCCACTGAGCCACCCAGGTGCCCCTATACCACATCTTCTTTATTCATTCATCTTGGGCTGCTTCTATAATTTGGCTATTGTATGTTTTTGAAAGATATTTTTGCCTAATGTTCTACATTGGGAGGTTTTCTTTCAATACTTTAAAGATATTGTTTCACTATCTTCTTACACAGATTGTTTTGGGTGAAAATCTGATGTCACTCTTAACTTTGTTTCTCTGTACATTCCATCTTTTAAGATTTTCTCTTTTTACTCATTTTAAGCAATTTGATTATAATGTGACTTCATATAACTTTTCTTCATGTTTCTTTTGCTTGGGGTTTATTATGTTTCCTGGATCTGCGGGTGTATGGTCTTCATTAAGTTTGGAAACCTTTCAGTCATTATTTCTTCAAACGTTTTTGTCCCCTTTTTTTCTCTTCTTCTGGGTCTCTAATTACTCATATATTAGGCCATTTGAAATTGTCCCATAATTCACTGATGTTCTTGTAATTGTTTTAGATTCTTTTTTGTCCCTTTCATTTTGGATAATTTCTATTCTAATGCCTTCATGTTCACATATCTTTTCTTCTGCAATATCTAATCTGCCATCAATCTCATCCCGTTTATTTTTCATCCTTGGACATTGCAGATTTCACATCAGAAATTTCAATTTGAGGCTTCTTTTTTTTTTTTTTTAAAGATTTTATCCGTCTATTTTTCAGAGAGAGAACACAAATGGGGGAGTGGCAGACAGACTGAGAAGCAGGCTCCCCTGTTTAGCAAGGAGCCCAACACAGGACTTGATCCCAGGACTCAAAGATCATGACCTGAGTCGAAGGCAGACACGTAACCGACTGAGCTACCCAGGTATCCCAATTTGAGGCTTTTTTATATCTTCCTTCTCTCAACTTTTTGAGCATAAGAAATACAGTTAACTGTTTTAATGTCCTCCTTAGGCCCAACTTCTTTCAGTTCTAGGTCAGTTTCATTTGATTATAGACTGTATTTTCCTGCCTCTTTGCATGTCTAAGTATTTATTGATCCATTTTTTTTGATGGGTGCCATACATTATGAATGTGATCTTACTGAGGGCTAGATAGCTGCATTCCTATAAATCTTGAGCTCTGTTGTGTAATGAGTTTACATTACTCATTACTCATACATTACTCAGTCAACAATTTGATCTTCCTAAGTGTTGCTTTTATGATTTGTTAGCTGAGTCAGAGCAGGAGGACACAAAGACGAGCAAGGCATTAGTGAAAGTGGATACATAAGCCCAGGCACTAAACCACAGCAACACGGCTAAGGGGACATTAAAACTCGATCAGGGTGGCGGAGTGCAGCCTCACCTCTGCCCTCTATCTCCCCTTCCCGAGGTAGTAGCAGCAGCATGAAGAGAGCAGGGAGGGCTGGAGTTTTCCCTGGGTAGGCTTGAGGGTACCCTCATGGGATCTGAAACCTTATCACAGGAACAAACCAGACTTCAAATATAGACACGGAGCAGCTGCTGGCACAGAGCTGTCCAGGAAGAGGGTCCCACCCATCATTCCACTCTGCTTCACCCTTGCCGATCACACCAAGGGCCTTGGGAAGTCATCACACTGCTCAGGGCCTCAGCTTACTCATTTGTAAATTGGGGTGACCCCACCTGCTCTGCCTAGCTCAGAAGGGTGTTCTCTCCGGGGAGTAAGGTGTGCTCATTTCAGCAGCAGATATACTGAAATTGAACTAGGAGTCAGAGAAGTAAAAACAAGCTGAGTTTCTGAAAGTGACACCCCAGTCCTTTCTACACACTGCCTTAGCCAACTGACTGCTAAGCCCCCTCCTAGAAGGCCCTCAAGTTACGTAGTCAGAGGTTGTAAAGAAGAGGACAGAGGACCTATCATTTGATTCTAACCTCCTTGCAGGGTAGGCTCCGCCAGGGAAGGTGGCCCCCTCCCTCTGCCTCAGTTCTGACGGAAGCCTGGGAAGAGTGGTCTCCTTAATCTTCAGGCTCAAAAGTCTGAGAACAGCAGGGAATCCACCCGTAGCCTCCAGATGCAGGCATTTCTGTCATTCCTTTCCCCTTATCTATGATTTCCTACCAGTCAGATGATGGTGTCTGAAGGCAAGAGGCCAGATTTCCAAACAGCCCTCTGGTTCTAGGTTGGGTCATCTCTGCATCCAACCTCTTTTGGAGGACCCGAGGAAACAGACCAGAGCAGGCCAAGTGGCTCGACCATGTCCGAGCCATTGGTTATTTCTGGCAAGAATAAGGTGATCTAGGTTAGATCTATCTCCAGTAGCACCCAAGGGCCCTGGAGCGCCTCAGCCTGGTTCAGGTCCCACATCTTTTATGTTTCTGGGTGGCTTCCATCACCTGCCAATCTGGAGCTTTCCTAACCGTGTGTGACTTGAGGGGAAAGGTGGGAAGGTCTGGGTACAAAGCTGCACACACGTACTTGAAGTAATTGTAGATTCACATGCAGTTCTAAGAAATAAGACATCCGGGGCGCCTGGGTGGCTCAGTGGGTTAAAGCCTCTGCCTTCAGCTCCGGTCAGGATCCCAGGGTCCTGGGACGCGTCCGGCTCTCTGCTCAGTGGGGAGCCTGCTTCTCCATCTCTCTCTGCCTGCCTCTCTGCCTACTTGTGATCTCTGTCAAATAAATAAATAAAATCTTGAAAAAGAAAAAGAAGAAATAAGACATCCCCTGTTGGTACAATCCATCAGTCCACCTCTGGCGTGTGCCATTGTAATGCTAGACCACTAAAGCTTCCAAATTTACCTACTAAAGTTGCTTGTGGCCCCGGGGTATTGCACCCTGCTACTCCAACAGTGCCCCTGCAAGCCGGACAGAGGTTAACAGGGCCTAGTGTGTTCTGGACTCCTCATGCACGTGATCGCTTAATCGTCACCAGAGCTTGTTTCATAGACGTTAAGACTGAGCCGCGGAGAAGGGTGGAGGGTGAGTGGGTCCGGCAGGAGCTAATCCAGGCTTGCCTACGCTTTCTACCCTCTGAGCACAGTCCCGTGGGCCCCTGGGGGCACTAGGAGGCTTGGAAGGCTCCGCAAACACTAATGGAGTCCGTGGGGGACCCGAGCAGAGCCCCACCGGCGGAGGGAGCGGCTAGTCGCCGCTCGCCAGGACTAAGCTTCAGGGCGTGGCTTGGCCCTACACCTGGGTTCCACCCGGGAGGACGAGGAAGCAACGCCGGGCCGCAGTCTGCAACCAGAGCTCCCCAGCGCTGGCGCCCGGCCGGGGTCCGCCCCGGGGGACGCCGGGAAGCTGCCCCGCCCCTCCCCGCGCGCTCTCCTCCCCCCGCTGCGCGGCGCTCGCCTGCCCCCCTGCTGCCGCGGGGTGGGCCCTGCAACCTCGGCCCTCCCCGCCTTCGCCCCGCGCACCCCCCAGCCCCGGATTGGCCGCTCCAGAAGTCTCCGGGCCGGCAGCCTTCCGCCACTGGATTGGCTGCGCCCCGGGGCTGAGGCCCCGCCCATTTCCCCGGGTCCTTTGATCACGCGCCTGCCGGCTCTTCCGGGGCCTGGGAGCCAACCGAGGGCGTTCCTGTCCGGGCTGCAGCGGCGGGAGGTAAGGCATGCTCGGGTTGGACGGGCTGCAGAGCGCCGGCGCGGGTCCACGTCTCAGGGTGCCGGGATTCCGGGATGTCCGGGCCCTCCCTGCAGCCCCCAAACCTCCCTTACCCGGCCTGAGCCGCCCAGCGTCGTGGGAACTATACCTCCCACTCGCCCATGCTGGTCCGCATCCTGGGAGCGGCCAGACATCCGCCCCACCTCGGCAGGTCCCTTCGACCGTGGGACGGCGTGCATGCGACCGTGCAAGCTCGGTGCCCCCACGGACACCGGGACAGGTAGTTCATACCTTGCCCCCCCAGTGGAGACCCAAGCGAAGCGGGGTCGGGGACCTTGGGGTCTGCGTACAGGAGCCCATCGGCAGTCTCCTTGCATCTGTCGATGGGAGCTGACCCTCTCACCTTTGCCTATCAGCCCGCGCTAAAGAGGGGAGGGACCTGGGCGGAGCCCCGGGTGGGGACCAGAGGGAGGTGACATCACCTCGCAGATACCTGCCCACTCGTTTCCGCCCTGGCACGATAACAGTGGAGGAGAGGCTGTCCTGGCTGTATGTCCGCAGTCACACCAGGGACAAGGAGGGCACAGAGAAGGCCTGTAGCCTAAGTGGGGGTATTGGACCAGGACTGGGGCAGGCTCCTTGAGATGCTCCTGCCTCACCCGGAGGCCCCACAGCGCAGGACCCTCATATATCTGTCAGATCTCCCCCTTTTGCTCCACTGGACAGGTGCTGGCTGCCCAGTGTCCCCAGAGGTCAGAATAGGAGCTCCAAACGTAGATCTAAGCTTTTCCCAGGAGATGTGCTAGTGTTTTGCCAGCACCTGAGCTGGGCCCCACCCTGGCTTGGGGACAGGAGCCGGGCAGCACTCTGGGCCTCCCCTTGGTGCCCTCCACACCCAGGATTTCCCTGGTCACTGGAGGGTTAAACCCAGCACACGGACCTGGAGGATATCTCGTCCCAGGGCCTGACCTAAGTTTTGATACATCACCCGCTCTTGGAGAGGGATCCAGAGCTTGGATGGCGCCCTGGGTCAAACGAATCACCTCCCTTTCTCCTCCGCAGGGAGCCCAGTGGAGGCGCCCTCCCAAGGCCCCACTGCCCATGCTGACGACCCAGCCCTCCGGCTGCCGATGTCATGAGTAACACTACAGTGCCCAATGCCCCCCAGGCCAACAGCGACTCCATGGTGGGCTACGTGTTGGGGCCTTTCTTCCTCATCACCCTGGTCGGGGTGGTGGTGGTTGTGGTAAGGAGTCCCCATGGACACACATACACACCCACACTTCGGCTGGGAGTGGGGACGGTGGGGCTGGTGAACCTGCACCGCTCATCTCTGCTGTCCTGATGTGATGGGTGAAGGGGTAGAGGTGGGTCTCCCGTGGGCCGTCCTGGGCTCAGCAGCCTGCACAGCGCTGTGTCTCTGTTACAGGTAATGTATGTCCAGAAGAAAAAGCGGTGAGTGTCCCTGTCCCCAGTGTTACTTCCCCTGCATTTGGCTCACAAGTTTCTTCCCATAGGCTTGGTTCTCTACAGTCGAGGTTAAGATGCCCTTGGGCTTTCCTTATACCAGCCCAAAATTCCCTACACCCCGCTGTGAGGGTTTCCTGCCCAAACTGGGCTTGGAACCTACTGAAGAAGGGCCCCTTCTAGAACTGGGCATGTATTCTCAGAACCACAGTGTGCCCCCAAAGGCCCTCAGGGCCTTAGGTGTTGGGAGTGGGACTCCCCTGGGCTGAGTGCCCTCCCCTGCTCCCTAGAGTGGACCGGCTTCGCCATCACCTGCTCCCCATGTACAGCTACGACCCTGCAGAGGAGCTGCATGAGGCTGAGCAGGAGCTGCTCTCGGATGTGGGGGACCCCAAGGTGAGTGCTGGGGAGAGGTGGGTGCAGAACAGTCAGGGGGGCAACCTGCTGTCTTCTTCCCCAGAGCCAGGTTTTGTCCTCAGACCTCCCTATGTGGGCCAGGGCTAGTGGGCTGTCCTCCTGCCATGGGTGCCACAGCTTCTGCCCTGGACCCCAGCCCTGTGGCCCGGTCTCTGCCCCCACAGGTGGTACACGGCTGGCAGAGTGGCTACCAGCACAAGCGGATGCCCCTGCTGGACGTCAAGACCTGACCTCACCCCCACCCCCCTGCTCTCCAGAACCATGGCACTTGGGAGTGCTCTGGGGGCCTGCGGTGTCCTTCCCCACTTGCACTCACCCAGCTCCCCCTACTGGGAACTGGGTCTCCTCTACTCTCATCCATCCAGGCTGCACCTCGCTCCCCCTGCCCAGGCCTTCAATCCTTGGTGGGCTGAGCCTTCCACCCATTTCCCCCCACCAGGCTAATCCAAGTTTTTCCTGCCCGGTTGGAAGGGTGGTTGGGAGACTTTTTTCCTAGGCCCCACCTTTCTCTTGAGCCCTCCCCAACCTGGCTTTGGATTTGTTTCCATGGTGACAGGGCCTAATGTATAGTATTCAGTATATATATTTTGTAAATAAACTGTTTTGTGGCTAGGGGTGTGGTGCCTTTTTTTTTTTTTTTTTTTTTAAGAGAGGCTTGTTACCTTCCCCAGAGCTAAGGCTTTCCTCGCCCCCTCCCCGGAGATCCACCCCCACCAACTCTGTCCTTGGCTTCCACTCTTACCTACCCCAGGTACCCACCACAGAAGGATTCCGGTCCAGAAAAGGATATTTTTTTATTCAAGTAACTGCAAATAGGAAACCAGATGGGGGGGCCCCAGGCTGGGACAAATAATGGCCACCTCCTCCCCATCAGAACAGGGGGGAGAAGGTAGCCTCTACACCCGACGGTCAATACAGGCCCCCCCCAACTCTGCTGCAGCATCCTAGGGGCAGGGCCCCACCTTCCCTGGGACTGGGGTGGTCGGTAACCCAGCCTGTGCTGCCCCGGGCCCCTGCCCCTAAGAGTGCCTTGGAGGAGGGGACCGCGGGCAGAACAGGAGGCAATGAGGATGAACATTTGGCGCTGGTCGCAGCAGCAATGACGGATGTCTAAGAATGGAAACATTGAACGAAAACAACACAACTGTCCAGAGGTAGTTTGTGAACAGAGGAAAAGATGGAACCAGAACCTTGGGGGGGTGGGGAGGAGCAGAAGGGTGGGAGTGGGCAAGGCTAGCTCCTTGTTATTAGTGCCCCATGTGAGGAAGGGGGAAAGTGAGGCCTAAGGTGGAAGCGGAGGGGTTAGGTAGTGGCTCCAGCCCACCTGGGGAGGCCGTGGCAGGGAGCCTAGGCCTCTGGGACCTCACCTGGAAAAAGGGGGGACTGCATTTCCCTCACTGCAACAGATTCCAGGGTGAGGGGGTGGGGTGGGCTGGAGCCCATTTAGAAAGGGTAGGGGGCTCAGACCCCTCCTGCCTTCCTTCCTGTGCCCAAAGGGGGCTGTCTCACCTAGAGCAAGGACCAGGCAAGGGAGGAAGAAAGAAAAGTGGGTATGAGCTGCACCTAGTGAGACACAGGCTGGGTGGGGTGGGGGGCATCTCGGGGCCCAGCGCCCCTCCCCACTGGCCATACCTGCCGCTGCCTGTGCTGTGGAGGGGAGCAGATCAGGAGATGGGGCTTGGGGCCCCTTTTAAGGCCAGGGAAGCCCTCCCAGGCCCCTCAGTGGGAAGCCAGAGGGAAGAATGGGGAAGCAGAAGGGATCCCCCCCCCAAACCAAGAGCCCAGTCAGCAATGTCCCCACCGCAGGGTGTAGAGACACAGCAGGGGGCAGGGTGCCGCAAGACTGGGGGTCGCTGTGTCTGGAGCTGTGAGTGTGCGTGTGGGTGAGGGGTCGCTGGAAACCGAGACCAAAGGAAACTGCTCCCCACTCGGGCCTTGGGGCCCCGCAGCGGCTGGTGTGCTGTGTAGTGTGGCAGCGAGGGCACAGGTGGGTTGTGGTGGTGGTGTGGGAGAAAGGGGGGCCTGGGGGAGGGGGCGGTGGGAGCGGAGCGGAGCTGTCCAGTCCCAGAAGGAAAATCGCTCCTCGGCCAAGGAGAAGGCGGCACGGCGCGGTCACTGCTCCTCCTCAGAGGACTCCTGCGAGATGCCCTCTTCTTCCTCCTTCTCCTGTGAGGCAGGAGGCAGGCAGGCCGGTCAGCAGGAGTGCCAGGCCTGCCCCCTGCACCCCACTGGTGGTGCTGGGGGGTGGGGGCACAGGCCAGAAGGGCCCCCACCCCTCCCTGGGTTCCCTGGCTCTCCAGAAGGGGGATGAGTCAGGGCTGAGTGTGTGAGTGACTCAGCAACCTCCACGGCCCAGTTTCATTCATAAAAAAGGAAGAATTTAAAGGGAGGGAAAAAACCCCACACACAGGCTGCTCCCGCAAGGAGCCAGGCCCCCTTGGCCCCAGGGCCTGTCCCCCCCCCACCCCAACGCCCAGCTCAGGGAAGTGAGGAGGTAACTGGCTTTCTGTAGGAGGGGAAGGGAGAGGTGGCCAGGAAGAGGAAACGGGAAGAGGTGGCTGCTGGGTGCCTCGCTGGGGAACCAGGTGGCCTTGGGCCGCAGGGGCAGCTGAGGGGCTATGGAGTCAGGCCTCGGACTGACCCCAGGCCAGGGCGGGGAGGAAGGGGAAGTGTGTGTGCCGCCGGGGCTCACTCACTGGGCGGGAATGTTGGGACACCACACGGGCCTGCGGCCCCCCGTGCCAGGCTCAAACTCCCAAACAACTTGTTTCCTGTTACTCACTCCTGGGGCCCAGCCAGCACCCCCTGACCCCCCTCCTCACCCTGGTGGTGGCTCAGCTCGAGGAATGAAGGCCTCAGGGAGTTCAGGGAGCAGGTTGGGGAGACAGAAAAGGGCCAGGAAGAACAAAGCTGGGGTGGCCACTGACTTCAGTGGAGGCCCCAGAGGCAGCCTCCTGACTCAACCTACCTTCTTCCGTTAGCAGCTATTTGGGGGCTCAGAAATGGATGGTGGGTCCCAGTGAGGAGGGGCCTCCATGTGGGATCACCCCTCCGCTCCCACACAGCACTGCCAGCGCGGCTTAGGGCTGAGCTCCTTGGCTGCCTCCTCCTTCCTACCCAAGACCGCCTAAGATGGTGGTGAGGACAGACCCTGCGCTCTGCTCCCGTGGCCTTCTTTCCTCACTTCTATTATGGGGCTGGGGTGGGAGAAGGGGACTAGATGGCCTCCAAGTTCCCCCTAGAAGCTGAGTCTGTTCTAGGAGCAGGGGAAAGAGATGGAGCCCCACCCCCTGGCTAGGGCAGGTTCGTACCTGGGACCCCTTGCTTCTCAGGGATACAGCCCTTTAAAAGCCCTGGGCTGGGTGTCAGGACCCTGGGACACACGCAAATCCCTTTCCCTCTAGGCCTGGGGAAGGGGACAATGTCCCACTACTCCCGGCTCAGGCCAGGCAGAGCGGTCCTTCCACGATGAGCGCACAGGACTCAGTATCCCCCATCCTTAAACATCCTCCCCAGCAAACCACACCACCGCCATCCCTTCACCTACCAGTTTTTTGGGTCTGCCCCTTGGTTTCCTCCCTGGGGTTGTGGTAGTTTTCTAGATGGTCAGAGAAAAGATCCACTAAGTCAAAAACGTCCCTCAGTCTTCACGCAACCACCAGTGCCCTGGTGGAGAGGGGCAGAACTCCCTACCTCTGCTTAGGGCAGCCTGGGACTCTCACCCCAGCAGGCCCACCCGAGTCCAGCTGGTGATGACTGGCCAGCCACACTGCACCCCCCCAACATACACACACGCCCCCCACTCCCTCCTCCACCCATGACTCAGAGGATATGAGTCGTGTCTCAGAAAAAAAATAAAAAACAAAACAACTTCTCTGAGAGACTGCTGCCACTGTGAATCTGCCCTTCCCTGCTTATCCCCACTCCCTTGGGATTCAGGGGGACCCCCGAATGGAACATTCTCCACGCAGGGACTGGTGGAACCACCCCTTCCCTCTTCCCGATTCGCCTGTTTCCAGACGACAAAAGCTATGGGAATTCTGACTTGATTTCCCCCGAAGTGAGGCTTCGGTCATCACCCTGCCTTCCCCAATCAGCCAAGACCCCCTGCCACCCATGCCAGGAAAGAGAGGGCAGGGGACAGTTAATAAGGACAAGCCAGTGCCTTCTTAGACCTCCCCCAGCTGTGGCCATGGGCAGAAGGGGGTCGTCCTCCTCCATCCTTACCCGGGTCTTGGCGGCACCCTTGTTTTTGCTCCCCTTTGGTCGGCCCCGAGGTCTCTTAGGTGTCGGCACTTCGCTGGGTTCCTTCTGCAAAGACAGATGGGGTCATCAGGAACACAGAAGCCACCTGTGCCACCCCTTTCAAAACACATGGTGCTCTCCCCTCATCCCAGCAAGACGGAGTCAGTAAGCCAGTGCCACGACCCAGAAATCCACAGGCACCAGAGCAGACAAGCCCTCGTGATTCAAGTTCTCACACTGAACATCTTCTGCAAAGCTCCTCCCATGCCTCCCTGCGCCAACAGGAGGACAAGAAGGCAGAAGAGGGAAAGGCGGCACAGGGGCACAAAGACACCATCAGGCAGCTCTGGCACCACGGGGCTCGAAGCTCTTGGGCAAGACGCGGGATGCTCGGGCCTCAGTTTCCTCAACCGTAAATGGTGACAAGACACCTCACAGGGTATCCAGAGACTAAATGAAGAGTGTGGAAGTGGCCAGCACTGGGCCAAGACAGTTGCCTCCCCGCTGTGAGGGATGCCGAAGTGGGGAAGGGATGCCGAAGTGGGGAAAGGATGCCCCCTTCGCCCCACTAGAGAGAGCTTCCAGCCTCTCCCTGCAAACTGACTCCCTCCAGGCCACCTCTCAGAAAAGGAAGTATGCCCACGTGTCGGAAACCCAGAGCTCCCTACCGTGGTTGCCGCTGAAATTTTAATAAGCGCAACAGAATAAGAAGCTGCTGCATGAGGCGTAGAAGCCAGGCAGTGAAGGCACATCAGCTACAGTTTCAGGACGGCTGTTCACAGGCTGTGTAGGGCCACCATGGTCCTGTAACCCAGCACCCACTTCGGGCACCCCTCCGCAGGCCCCAGCTAACAGGCACAGGGTGGAGGCCACGGACAGAGAATGACTTCCCTCCCCACACTGGGAGCTCTGGAAGCCCACCTCTTAGCCTCATGGCTCACGTCCCCCCGAAGCCCGTACAGACCACACTCTCCATCCTACAAATGCAGAAGCCCAAGGCCCACCCTGCTGAGAGAGCAAGGGCGGACCTCAACTCCTGTCCTCTTCCCTGGGAAAGGGACATAAGCTGGGCCCTGCCAGCCGCCGCCCGAGAGAATCCAAGATCCCCACAGCATGCCAGGTGGGCCCCCAAGCCTGACAGGCCAGAGGCCAGGCTCCCCAGCGTGCCCCAAAGTGCCAGGTTGGTCTTTTTTTTTTTTTTAAGATTTTATTTATTTGTCACACAGAGATCATGGGTAGGCAGAGAGTCAGGCAGGGAGAGAGAGGAGGAAGCAGGCCCCCTGCTGAGCAGAGAGCCTGATGCGGGGCTCGATCCCAGAACCCTGGGATTATAACCTGAGCCAAAGGCAGAAGTCTAACCCACTGAGCC